TTCATACAATTTTTCATTGTTTTATCTCTCTATATAACATGAAATATATCGGTACAAAGCTATCTGTTTTCAGCTATACTTCCTGTTCTCCTTCTCTAAAATCAAGGCAAAAATACATGATTGAAAATTATAGTAATGTGTTGATATAGTGAAAAGTCAGTTACTTCAGAGGATATGTAGCACATCTTGTCATCTACTTTTCCTTCAGCTTAATATTGTACTGGTCAAGTAATCGATGCATGAAACTTGCCCAGCTCCTTAAAAATTATGAACCTCAGGAACTTTCAAATACTCATGCAGAAAAAAAAAAAAAAGAAAGAAAAAAAGTCTTTTGCCTCAAAATGATTTTACCCCAACTTAAATTGGAAGACTTTGTTCTGCCTTTTGGTATATACTTTATGGTAGTGACTTCAATGCCTTCCAATAAGTACATGTTCTACAATTGCTAGGAAGACCCTGGGTTCCTCAATTTTGTTGTTTGCTGGTCCTGGAAATAAATTGAAAGGCTTTGTGAAAAATCTAAGACCAGGGTAGAGTGCACTAACTGCAAAAAAATCCTGTAGTTTGTGCCACCATTTAAACTAAAAATAGGATTAAGGAAACCTAAAAGCTGTTTCTCACAGCTGCACTCAGCAAATTCTGATAGACTGGGACCAAAATAGAGACAATAACCAGGAGGTCCAATCTGAAGGTTTACATATATATTTGAATAACTATTTCTATCTGACAAGAATTTCACACCCATCTGATAAGGTTTCTCTCTGTTGAAAGTAATTTCTTAATGCTGAGTATTTTCTGTCACCTTTTCTTTATGTTTTTGAAGGACTTTTCAATGTAAGTACTTTCACTGTGCTACAAAATATTTGTAGTTTGCAGAGCTGGAAACCAAAGCCTTAATTACATTATATATATATTAAACTCACTTTGTATTGAGTGGTAATGTAGTGTGGGACATCTGTGATTTGCCATAAACTTAGGAAGAAACATTTTTGTCCTGGCCTTACTCCCCAGGGAACTCTCCTGACCTTGCTTGTCGACAGAAGGTTTGTAGCAAGATGCAAATGAATGTAAATTGTTAACGTTTTGCTGTGCAGCATCAGGCAGTCTAGTGGTCTTGTGTACATTGTAACACTCCGAAAAACCATAACACAAGCTATTATTTGCATTCTTTAATCTTAGATTCAGAATTTACTGCCTCCCGTCTGTGAAATACAGCTCCAGCTACTGTATATGGGAGAAACATGCCAGTGGTAATTAATGACATGCTGTTTAATAAAATAATGAAACTCAAGCCATAAAGCTGTGGTACATTTAGCTATCTTCAGGAATGTTTTTCATTCACAAATTATGTTTGGTAGAAAGAGGAAAATCCCCAATGGTTTACTGATGAAACTGAAACTGTGTCCTGCTGTAAGCAATTCAGTGTGCTGTAGTCTATGCCTTCCAGTTACACCACCTGATTGATTTCTTTTGTAATTGGGCATCAGGACTGCCATTTGCCTGAAGTGTAGTCCTTATTTAAAATACCCGAGTGGAAGATTTAAAACAGAGTTCTAGAAACTGTACTGAAATAACATGTAGTAGGAGGGGTTAAAATAAGTATCATTTATAATGGAACCATGGGTGCTGGCTCAGATCCACTCCTGCTATCAGCCCACGGAACAGCTTTACGTAAGCAGTTTACTTGTCTAGCACATTAAATTATTATCACTTTATTGAATACAGCTGGGAGGGGCAGGGCAGGGAGGGGGCGGGGAAGAGGGGGGAAAGACGCACTCGTTAATTAGGTTCAGGGCTCAGTGGAGCTCCATTAAAGCTTATTGCAAGAAAAAAAAATCAGCCAGATGCGTGCCAGCTTCTCAATATATAGAAATAAGAAGTCATCAGGATTTGGAAGAGCTTGTTTTAGATTGCAGCCTCTTACAATTAAGTCCTAAAGGAAATAGATTGAGTAGTCCTTGATTCTGGTGGGAGGAAACACATGTAAGTCTAGTGTGTGGGTCCATGGCTATTGGTGCTTGCATGTTGCCAGGAAACCATCCTCTGAATCTAATCTGTCACTCTCTTTTGAGATTTCATTTCTGACGCTGCTGTGTGTCACATCACTGTTGATATGCCTTTTTGTTCTGGGAAAACATGGTTTTCTTTCTGTCACCACTCTGCTGGCACTGCTAACCTCCGGATTCTTGTGGATCATGCTGACTTTCTAATATAACCTGTAATTTAATATACAGTCATATGTTTCTATAGATCTTTGTCAAAACGTTTACTAAATGAAAGGAAAAGTATTTTACTGACAATAGGACAGGTTTTAAATCCATTTCAAAAAGCTGCATTTCAATTCTATAGAATTGTGTTAATTTCATACCTCAAATACTTCAGAATTATTATAGATTTTTTTCTTTTTTTTTTTTTTTTCCTAGTATGGAGAATCATAATAAAAACCATTCATAAAACTTTTAGGGTATCTTCAGATAAAAGCACCAAAGCCAGAAATATTCAAAAAGCTCAGCATCCTACTATTGGTTAAAGTGGTGAAATCCCTTTGTTGGATTGAATCTTTTGTAACGAGTGGCAAAATCCCCACTGATTTCCAGGGTGACGTGGTTTCATCCTGCATGTTCAGATGAGCTCATGTTTAGGTTATAGAGCTCTTTGAAAATTTGTCTACTGGAATTGCAGTGACTGCTGCTGAGAGCGGAGCACTTTTAGAAGGCTAGTCCCTACCTAGGTGCCTAAATAAGAGTCTGATTTCTTTTGAAAACCTGGCTTCCCATGGGGAATCCTCATCACTTGACAGCCTGTTCTCATCTGAAATATTGATTTTGTATAAATGCCACATGGACAATCTTTAGGCTGTTATTATCAACAAAGCACCACTGAAGTAGGTGCTTTTAAAATATGTAGCAAGTAGAAGTGTAGAGTATATAATTTGATTTTGCTTTTTGCTCATCCTCATGCAGTCCTCTCATTCCGAATAAAAGAAGACCTCAGATTTTGCTCCTTACTTTAGGAAACTGATTAAATTGAAACAGAACTTTGTCTGAAATAGAACACCAGGATTAGGAACTGAAGTCATGGTATCTGAGAGTATATTTCCTCCTATGAAGCAAACTCATGTTAGGAAAACTCTTCCTTGCTTCCTGTACCTGATCTCTGTAACACAAAGCCCAGTCATTAAGTGTTTTTTTTCTTTATATAATGTCACACTTTTGTGAGATGGCAATTTTCTGAGAAATGAAAAAATATATGATTTTTTATGAAGCCGAAAAGATATTCTGACAGAAGAATATGATACTGCTCTGTGTAGTTACCCTTTATGGGCTTCATTTAATGCTTTTTTCCCCTGAGATGCACAAGGACTTTTTGATTTTTTCAGTTGCTCAGACATGTTTGGTAGAGCTATAATAAGCATTGCAATGAGATCCCTGGTGATTTATCATGGTTGGGATTCAGCTGTGCTCTCATTGTGTTGTCAAAGTTTTACAGACCCCCTTATGAGGCTGATTACTACCTGTCAAACCAGGACACCACCTTAGAAGAAAATTGTAGGAAGCCTGGCTAAATCTGTGGAGTTGTAATTTTTGTCAGGGTTTCATTCTTTTTGAGAAGCTGTTTTACCTTTCCTTCTATTAGCACATGAAATACTCTAGTTGAATGGGTTTGGTCTTTCAAATAGAAGTGTCTCTAACACAGTAGTATTGTAATTATTACTTTGTCTAACGTGAACATCAGTGGCAAAAAAAACCCACCCCAAGACCAATTGTAAGTTAAATTGTATATTGTAAGATTGTATTGTAAGGTGCCTAAGGCACCTTAGGCACCTAAGATTATATTGTAAGACCAATATAAGTTAAAATGAAATATTTAAGTAAATATTTATCATTTTTAAAAGTTAATTCTTTTGCTGAATTCTGCTTTTGAAAGGTATGTCATAAAGCCAGAATAAACATGTTGGTTAGCCTGAGTGATGCCAATTTACAATAATATGACTTGGAGCACAATTGTGGTCCTTGAGAATATGTCTTCACAGAAAAAATATGTGGGGAAAAATATTTTTTTCTTTTGCCTACAAAACATCCCTGACAGGAAGCTGAGCCACCAAAGAGCAATAGGAAGAGAAGTACAGGAATTCTTCTGAATACAAAGGGGAGGCAAGGGAAGACCTGCCTCATAGTTTTTGCTCCAAAGACTCTGGATATTTTGCATTAATGTAATTAGTGTTCGAGGAAGGAAGCGGTCCCATGCTCACCAGCAAGAAACAAGAGTTGTTCCCATAACTGTGCAAAAAGCCATGTCTTCTTTTTCATAAAATTAATTTTTGATATTGTGGAGCTTGAGTTTATTTTTAGTCTTTGACCAACTCAGTAGGGTTGATGATCACCTCTGCTGTAAGAGCAGTTCTCTCAGTGGAGAGATGTGAAAGGTGGTACAGGTCTTGTGGATGGATTTTAATACCTTTGGAGTAAAACTGAACAAGGAAACTGAACCGGGGTATCCCTTTGCATGGATTGGAAGTCACCATGGATGTAATACATAAAAAGACATAACTACATGGTATAAAGAGACTGAGCTCTAGTCTCAGAAGTAACATCTCAGTGGTGCAAGAGGTAAGTGGAAATGTGTCATTAAACTCTGTCCTTTGTGAATATGGGAAAGAGGTTAAGACTAGTTTACACTTTAGAAGTGAGAAATTCTGTTCACATGAATTTATCACCAGTTGCACCTCTGATTTCTCTTCAAGAGAGACTGTGCAGTGAAGGTGGGTTGTCTAAGCTCTGTATCAGGGTAGGTATTGCACACAGCATCCACAGGGAACCCTGGCTTTTTCTCATAATGTCCTATTATTATGGTGCTCATGACTCTTGTTTGCTTGTAGTGGCTCTGGAAAGTCTTCCTCTAGCTTCCTCAACAGGGCATATCAAAAGAAAAAGGGGCAAGGAAAGGAGGAACCTTAGACTTTCCACTAACACACAGTGTTTTTTGTTGTCTGGCTCTAGGTAGATACACTGCTCATCATGGAGACTGCCTCACAATACTGGGAACTTAAGCCCAAAATTTTTGCCAATTTATACTAAATATAAGGTGAGAAGCGGGCCAAGAATGGTTACAACAGCATTGAAGCTTGGGAAGACTTCACTGAGACGAAAAGCATCAGTGGCAGAGCTCTCACAGAATCAGATACAGTATAGAAAAAAAAAATCAGAAATGTTTTCACTGGTTTGGTGTGACAATTTTGAGGAAAAACCCAAGTATTAACAGTCCAAAATATACAGAAAGAGAAGCAGTGCAGCGTTGCACTTGAGGCAAATTGACCGAGGAAGGTGGAGGAGCCGGTTCTACCAAATGTGCTGAGAAGTCTTTCTTGTTAAATTGAATTTGGAGTATAACCCAGGTACAAAACAGTGTTAGCCAGAGTGCTCCAGATGGATATTATCCTGAGCCAACAGCTAACTATATCAATGCTTTTCATTTACTTTGGTACCACAGAATGAAATGGCAGCAAAATGTCCAACATATGATTCCTTTTATTACTATTGCTGCCATAAGTGACACTTTCCCAGGACTATCAACACTTAGTAATTAGTATTCGCCACCATCAGTACTGTTTTCACCTGTCAAATTGTGAGTCTCATTGATTAATTTGATATTTCAGCATTACAACAATCTCTGCTACCTGATTTAATCTATCCTCTTTTCTGTAGCTATTGCCTCATTCAGAAAAATTGAACCAGCATGGAAATAGCTAAAGTTTTTAATCACAGTAAAAATTAAAATAGTAATTTATAGAAGTAGAACCACCTACAGTAGATGTTATATTAATATAAATTCCTCAGTATGACAGAAAAAAATTACCAGGGGAGAAATCAAAAATGAATAAAAGTTTGATGTGCAAACATGGAAGAAATATCATCTGTTTTAATGCATGTTACTGTAAAGACTCCTGGATTTTTCACAGCTCTCTAAAATTTCTCTAAAAAAATCGTAATGTCATTTCCCTTTCTGTGATCCCAGGGGGCATAGCTAGCAGGTAATTATTTTTGATAGCTTTTTCTTTCCCACCCTAGAGCACTTTTGTGTTTACAATGAATATGTTTAACACTTCCTTATTCAACAGCCATTTATCTTACCTATAATTAGTAGTTAAATAAATGAAAAATACTGATCAGTTTTTTAATTGGAACTTTTCAAAGTACTCACAAGCTGCTGTATTATTCTCAATCCCTATTAGAAAAAAAAAAACCCAACCAAAACCCAAGTAAGACTAAAACATGTTCTGGACAAATAAAATCAAATCCTGACTGACAACTTTTGTATCTGTTCAAGCAGATATAATTTTAAAATTACTGGCATATGAAGTTTTCATCCCCCTTGGAAAAAAAAAAATTGATGTGTACTGAAAATGCTGACAAACCCCTTCGATAGTGTTGCCATCAGATGCTAATATAATTAAGTCCCAGAATAAGGTAGAGCATGTTAGTGATACAGCCTGTCAGTAATTTTGCAATGATTTATGATCTGCAACTAACAAGAGAGCACCAACAGGACAAGCAATATTGCACACATTTTAAAAGGAAACATTTTCTGCTCTACTTTTAAAGGGAAATATCATTAGGTTTTCTCGATGAGATCTCTTCAAAGATAGTTAGGTAGCTGCATGTACAAACAGGTGTCTGGTATAATTCTAAAAGACTGTAGGCAACTTGGTACTGCTTTTTTCAGTACAAGTATCTATGAATAGAAAAAAACTCAAAAGTGATGCTGTATAGAAACAACACAGAATTCCAAAGCTTTGTTTTTCAGGTGAAATGAGTGCTCAGGTGGAATGAGTAACATCACGTCCACAAAACCAGTAAACAGTGCAATACAAATCAAAACTGTCCACTTAGCTAAAATTAGCTGTCAGACAGCCCTATATAGTATGGTCTGCTAGTCGGCAGAAAACATGATTTATGATCTGTCAAGGAAAGATAGTAGTCATAATGAATAGCTAGAATCAAGGGTGCTCTTAAGAAAGACAACAATATTGTTTAAATACCTTATTATATTACATTGTCTGCAAGAAAACATACGAGAAAATAATGTAAAGACCAATTCAGGCAAACTTTAATATGCTCCTTGTTCCCCCCACCTCCCCTGCCCCACCCTTCCTACTATAGTTTGTCTCCTTCCACTAAATTCTGAAACATATTCCCATCTGCAGATGTAGGTCCCATTATACATTTCCAAATTGTCTCTGTTTATGTAGTATGTTTCTATACATATATATGTAGTTTCTCATTGTCAGAAAACCTATGGTGACCTGATACACTATTTAAATGAATGAAAATTTATTTTATTGAGAACATTTTCAGGATATACATTGGCCTGTAAAATGTGAAAATTAGCCTGTGAAAACAGCTGGCTCATGAGCTGCTACTTAAAAGAGCAGAGGACAGCCAACTAGCCAGTGAAAGACTAGCTGGAGAGCAGAGCTCTCCCTAATAAATGTTACAGCATTCAACACGGTGCAAGGAGCAAAGTGATGTAGGTTCCAGTGATATCTTACACTTTGTCTGATGGTATTCGTACAACAAAAAGAGGCATTTTAGAACAAACAAGGTGCTTTTTTCCTGTTGGGTTTTTTTTTTTTTATAATAGAAAAATGAAATTATAAGTTTTCTATGCTCATTGCAAAGTGCAACATATCAAATCTTGATGTCTTTCAGATAAGCCACAGAATACAATTTCTTCTAGACCAGAGCATTCCACAGTTCCAGGGACATTTTGATATGGATCCAGACAAAGCAGGTAAAACTTTGCTCTTGATTGCCACATCAGCTACTTTTGTTTGGCCCAGTTATAAATAATAACCCCAGCTCAATTTGGGCTTTTTAGCAAAACAGACCAGCTGTGATTTTGGTGACATAATTCTCTCATGTGCCACTTCAGATAAAAATTTTGCCCAATGGACAACCTACATCAGATACCTTTTTTAATAACAAAGCCACAGTGAGTTAATAGTTTCTTAATTCAGGATAACTTTACCATCAATCTATTTTTTTGCATCAAGTAACACAATCAATGGATGCACAACAATTTAATTGTTCTGGAAAATATTTTTCAATTCAGTTCCGAGATAGGCACTGCTGTTTACTGCACTGCTTCTCTTCTCCCTTTTAAATCTTTCTGCTCTTATATTACATTAATTCCAATAGTCCATTCACAGTTTTGATCAAACAGCGCTCATTCTTGCTCTTCCAATTACTTGAGAATAAGTAAAGGACAGGGGAGTGGAGATAATCTCTTCTATTAAGTAAGTTTTAAATTACCTTTCTTCTTTTGCCTCTTATTGTTGCCATAAAAAATTATACAAGCAGTGAAAACATTTTCTTCAGCTCTGTAATGTGCAAGTAGAAATTTTGGAGTAGTTACACTGCAATTACACTTTTTGACCAAAAAGCAGTTATATTAATGGGAATAAATAAAGTGTAGTTATGGTCTTGGTAATGTAACCTGGACTCCGATAGTTATTTTAAAAATTAAAATAGAAAATAGAAAATAAAAAAGGCATCTGCCATGTAAATATCATCCCAATTCTGTGAATTGGAGTTAATTACAAAAAAAAAAAAACCTAGCCCTTCCATGATGTAACTACACTGTACCTTATATAAAACTACCATGCAAATGAAATGAATGTATTACATTTAATTTAATGGCATTACACTTCAATGAGCGTCATAAAAAAAAATCTCATTCTTGCAAGGTCATGAATTTCCACTGTGAAGGGCAGCCTCCACCTTGGCAGCTTGCAGCCTGCGAGGTAAAATATTTGAGACATTTTGGTCGGTCGCCAAGGGGAGCTGCTGCGGAGATTGCCCGGTGGGCAGCATCCTGTGACCACCCGCACGGGTCAAGCACGCTCGAGGCAGAATGGTGGGTGTCCTTCAGAGAGCAAAGGCAAAGGGTCTGCACCCTCCACCCCAGTGGCCTCCGCTCAGATGAAGCTGCTGCATGGAGACCTCAGACTGCAGGAGGTGCCTTCTCTCAGCCTTTCTCCTGGGGCAGAGACAGGCAGGAGACTTGCAAAAGTTGTGTGCAGGTGGAGGACCTTCTGCAGCATCAGAGTAGCATCAGGCGTAGCATCAGGGAGTATGAGCAGAAGACAGACAGCTGGTTCCAAGCGCAGCCTGCACTGGACCCACAACCCACAGCCAAACAGTCAAAATCTCCCACACTGGCAGGCACAGAAGGAAAGGCCAGCAATGGACGAATGGAAGCTTGTAACTGCAAAGACCAGCAGGAAGAAAAGATTTCCCCTGAAGCCTAAGGCGCCTTTGCAGAAGTGCTCCACTGCTCTGCAGAGAGAAGAGGAAAGACCAACTGCATCAGGAGGGGTGCTGGAGCTGAGTGAGGCTCTCCATCTCCTCCCCGAATAACAGCACAACCAAGAAAAGGCGATGGGTGATAGCAGTAGACGACTCTCTTCTGAGAGGTACAGAGGCACCCGTTTGCCAGCGTGATGCACTCTCTAGGGATGTGCACTTTTATCAGGGGTTTATCAGCACTTTCATTCCTGTTTATCAGCGGCTCATATCGGGGATGTCACTGAGAGATTACCCACCACAGTGGTTTTACTTTCAGAAGGATTAGTTTCATAAAATTGTGTTAAGTGTCTTAGGTAGGACCATAAATCAGAGTTATTAACTTTTCTGAGACCTAAATTTTCTTTTTGTAAATGATTTCTAGATTTCAGTCTATGCAGCTAACTAGTAAATTTTCTGTGATTGTTTCTGTAACAGTGGAGAAGCTTTCAGCAATGATCTAAAAAATTGTAGGTATTTGTTTAGTGGCTGTGAAAAAAGCAGAAAATGCCATCTGTCTGTGTTTAGAATTAGGGAGACTTGCAAGAAAACCCTGTGCCTGCAATATAAGAGTGGTTCATTATAAAACTTTCTGGGAATCCGTATTTGTTACAACAAACTCTCTTCATTCAGATAGTTTTCCTCCTTGGTAGACCTTATAAGCAGAATAGAGAATTTTAGAGAGCTATGAAGAGTCAGTGAACAAAGATATTTCAATTCTCTGGTTGCCATCATGGTACCTCATGAATATATGCTATCATACAGATTATAAACTCAGTGTAGGAGTGCCTGAGCCATGTCAGTCCTTTTTGCTTGAGCTCTGGCCTGTTAGTAAAGAATGCTCTTTTTTTCACCTGAGACACATATGTAGATGCTACATGTAACGTGCATTTGAGATGATCAGAGTAAGAGACAAGAAATGGGATCTAAGGATGCTCCATTTAAGAGATGTGTCCTTTGCCACATGGCTGCTGAGATCAGTACTTAAGGCTTTTGTTGAATTCCATATTTTGTCTATAATTGCTTGTAGCTTGTGGCGACAGAGCGTGCTGGAAGATACCCTAGCTATGAATATCTATGGGATGATTAAAAAAAATTAATATAACACTAGAAATATGTAATACAGGATTTCTTAACATGTTCAGTTTTGTCTTTTACGTATTTGTCTTAAGCGATTTAGTACATCCCCATGACAAATTTGCCTGGTTTTGTTTTTGTTTTATTATACAATTTTTATTAGCTATTGTACTGTGTTCATAAACTCTACTCCTAGGCAGAAGGAGACACAGTAAAACTGTCATATTCAATTGAAATATCACACTGTGGTGTACCACAACTATACATGAAAGTGTATCCAAAATGTTGCATGTTTGAGAAGGTCGGGTTAGCAAAATAACAATTCGGGAACAGATTTTGTATTGGTGGACCTAATATAGCAATGACTGTCAAAACAAGAATTTAATAAAAGAAAAAGGTTTTGGAATAAGCCTTATTAACTGAGTAAAAGTGTGAATATTTCAGTTATTATGTTCAAAAGCATATGATATTATGCTAGTTTCTTCTTAGCTGATTGTTTTCCTAGCTGGTTTGGGAAAAAAAAAAAAAGAGGAAAATTAATAAGCTCTTTCTAATTGTCTTGTGACCCCTGTTTGTTTTTTTCATAAAGATCCCTTTTCTGCAGTAAGACTCAATCATTGCTTTCCTGTAGTAGTTCAGAGAGTTTTTGACATCTTTTTGGAATCAGGTAGGAAGCGTGGTGACACCATAACCAGAAAATTCTATGAGTACAAAAATGTTATTCCAGGTTTTCAAATGAAGACTGGAGTTCAAGGACATGTCTCAGCTTAACATCAGTTTAGAAGAACACCTGTGACCAGATTTTTTTTTTCATATTTTTGAGAAACACTATGTTTTATATTTTACTAGAAAAATCATTAAGCTTCACATAAACCTAGGTGGATTTCTTCTGTTACAGGAATGTCTGCTGTTTATTTATTTTTATTTAGCTTGTCTCTTAGCTGCTGTTGCTGGCTTGTTTTCTTCCCTTTCTTGTTTTGCTTTTTTATTTTTGAGATTTCTCCTTTCTGATTCTGTGTTTTGAAATATGTAGGTCTTTGATAGCTTTTTTCAAGATAAAACTAATTTTGACTTAAAACTCGCTATATGAAGATATGATGTTAAAATCTCCTTCATTGTTAACTTATCTGAAATGTTTTGATTATTTTGTATAGTTACTCTGATACTAGGACTGAAATTTAAGAGAGTTAATATTAAGATAATTTTGTTAAGAGGTGTGCACCTCAGTTCATTTTAGTCTTCAGATACTTTGATTTTTAAACAGACTGATAAGAATGATCGAAGTTAAAGAATGTATAGTTACTGAACAACAAATACATGTGAAATCTCTTCAGAGTTTTTCATTGTGTTTCAAAATATAAAGTTTATTTGCAAGTCTTTGAAAATAACCAATATAATACGACTTCTGTCCTGTTTCTCTTCCTCTTTTCCCCCAAAAGACATAAAGCAAACTATATGTAGCTATTTCCAAGCTATTATTATGTTAAGAAATGAAGTTGTGGTTTAATGGAGTTTTCTTTCCAAGGTAGGAAAATGAAAACTAAATGAAAGAAAACTGGAATAGAATGGAAGAAATGCTGATGAAACAGCTTACATTTCATTCCAGAAACTGTAGAATGGACATTCTTCAAGCATGGACATTAATGCTTCAGATCTCTCGATTTAGACAAGTTTGGACAGTAGTAACTCAAAATATCCAGCCAGTCTCTTACAAAAATATTGTATTATGACTGGACTGGCCTTTAGTGAAAGTGAAAAATGGACATTAACATGGGATAGGAAAAAGCTAAATGAACTATCTTATCTTCAGATGCAGTGAAGCATTGAAATGTAATCTGTACTTTTCATTTTGAGTAGACAGGATTATCTCAGTCTAACATGTAAATTCAATTGGTGCCTGGCAGATTCCCTGTTCTTTGTTCCACATCACCATGTCAAATCCAGATAAATTAATGTCTTAGTGTTGGCTTGCGTTAGCAGAAACAGAAAAGAGAAAAATTAAAATCTTTATAATAAAAATTTATAGCAAAAATTCTCTTTAGTTGTTTGAAATCTATTATTTATTTACTATTTATTATTTACTATTTATTATTATTTATTTATTTATCTACAATCTATTTACAAGACTGGTATTAGCCTTCGTTATCCTTCAGTCACATATTGACAGGATAGAGAACTGGACAGAGAGGAACTTCATGAAGTTCAGCAAAGGAAAATGCAAAGTCCTGCACCTGAGGACAAATAACACCAGGCACCAGTACAACATGATGCCTGACCAGCTGGAAAGCAGCTTTGCCAAAATGGACCTTGGGGTCTTGGTGGGCAACAAGCTGACCAGCAACGTACCCTCACAGCAAGAAAGACCAACAGTTTCTGGGCATACTTGGCAGAATGTTGCTAGCAAGTCGAGGGAGGTGATCCTTCCCCTCCACTCAGCACTTGTGAGGCTGTATCTGGAATTCTGTGATCACTGGTACGAGAAAGATATGGAATTATGGAATGAGTCCAGCATAAGATCACAAAGATGATGGGGAGGGAATGTAGAAAAATGAGCAAGACTCTTCTCAGCGGTGTCCACTCATAGGACAAGAAGGAATGAGAACAAAGTAAATGCAAAAACCTAAATCTAAACACACTTGTTTAAGCTTTCTTCGTTACTGTTAAATGCTTTTTATGATGGAATGTCAACTTTCTTCCTGTAGCACTTTTTTCCTCATATTTATTCAGTTTTTATTTTATTTCAATCTTTTTAAAATTATGGATATTTTGCCCTCGTTTCATTTAACAGTTCCCAAAATGATGGGAGTAAGAGGCTGGTATATTGCTTCATATGCATTTTGTTCACTTAGAATTGCAAATACAATTTCCCAGCCTCCCACAATATGTGTCTGCTACAGTGACGTATTTCATTATAGTATTTCATAGAACACATTTGTTGTTGCCTACTGCTTGTTTGGATTTTTTATGTCTGTTCGTCTCATATTCAAGGGAATCTGAACCACCTTGAAAATGTACTTTTTTTTTTCTTAAACACAGCATGTGTCTTCTTCCCTCTTTTATATTCAATTATTTCTATTTTTACAAAATATTTTGTTTATCAGTTTATTTAAAGATTTTGGTTGCTAGCCAATGAATTTTAGCCCATGGAAGCAACAGAAAAACTATGAAACTTGAAGAACTGGGTCAGTTTATATTTACTTTGTCACTCCAATTCTTACAGAGTAGATCAAAGTCTTAAATTTACGTCCTTCCTAGCAAAATTTGAAGTTCTCTCTCCTTTCTGTATTCTCTCTGTATATATGTAAGCATATATATGTTGTTGTTGTTGCTTAAGAAACAATCTTGTAGTGTTACACATAGTCATTGATATAGTTACACGATGTCATTGATTGTAATCATATATCCACAACAATTTTTCCCTGAAATCTTCTGGAACAATTAAAGAAAATTCAAATAGAAAGTTAACCTATTTGCTAATGAATTTTAAAACACTCTTAATGCAGACACTATATTAACAACACTATGGTTAAAGGAATGTGTGGGCTGGTTCTGAAGGGTCTGGAAGCACTGCAGTGTAATAAATACCAAAAATAATGAAACTTGCTTTTCTACATTCTAAATTCTACCCACTCAACAAAAGAGGAACTTTTGTTTGTTTGTTTGTTTGTTTGTTTTTGAAGCCAGGTCTCAAACCCAAATCGGTATTTTCCTATTCATGCAACTTTATCAGTATGTGCCCTCACGAGCTGTTCATGTTCAAGGAAAGGTCATGCAAAAGCTTGAAACCTAAAGGGTTAAAAGGCCCTTTGAAGAGTAGTTGGAAAATGCTTTGTGTGTCTTGCAAATGGATGAAACTAATTTGCTCTCCTAATCTGTAAAATTAATAAAGTTCGTGTAGTGTTTCCAGTAAAAAATGTTGGAAGGTGACTATTGGCATTACCCTAGCTGAGTAAAACAAGCTTCAGTAAACTTAGCACATTCTCAAGAAAAAAAAGGCAGTACTAAATACTGTCTTCAGTGATGATCCACAGAGTAACTTTCTCTCACCCCTTTGTTCTGTAAAGTTTCATGTAAAAGCTGCATTTATAATGCAGGGGTTTTTAGCCTTCATAATAAGAATTTATAAAAATATCCTATTGGTCCAATAAGTGTCATAGCAACCTACTATAATATTTAAACACATTGGACAAATCTGATAAATGTTTCCCTCTGCAATCCACTGAACTCCAACACATACGCTTGCATACAGTATTTCACACATTTGATTTGCTCTGCTCATAGCTTTTATGACATCTCTTTCCTCAGTGTTTGACTACTGCAGTATTTTTTCTTAAAACATAGCATAGCTGTGAAAGAACTTTCCCAGAATATTAACACTCAATTAACTTCCATGACAAATTTTCCTTTTTGGGGGCCTTTTTTTTAAGTGATAAAATGCAGGTGATATTAATATGACCTGTTCTTCCTCAGAAACCAAAACTGGAAGAACAAGTGGTATTTTACCATGCACCATTTCAACTATCTTAACAAGATATTATTCAAAGAAAAATAAAAAACCAACATACTAAGGAATCCCTTATCCTCAAAGTATGGAATCACAATGTCCTTTATTGTCCTTATAGACAGTGAAATATTAATTTCTAGCCTTGACTGTTTATTACTTCATTGGATTGAGCTGCTGAAATCTGGCCCTGCAAGATTTCCTTCACCTATATCTCAACTCAGAGACTACAACTGCAACTACGTTGCAGTTTCTAAAGTTCAGGATTCAGGTCTGAGTCTTACCTGTGCTACTTCTTACTGTGTTACTCCTTCTGAGGACAAGATACAATTTTTCACTAAATCCATTCCTTCATTTCTTAGGTTTCTTGTGCTGGTTTAGTTTTGGGTGGATTTCTTTTGTTGCTGTTGTTTGGTTTGGTTTTTGGAAGGAAACTCAGATACTCAGGTAGAATTTCAGTTCTTCTGCACACCGTGCTTTGACCAGGATTGAAGAAGAGGATTTGAATTTGCCTTTTCTGGACAACCAGAAACCAGTTTCCCCCCTGATTTTCTGCCGTTCTGGTGAAAAACATGCAATAAATCAGTAGCTAGCAATAAAGTAAACTCATCATGTAATTTGGGCAGCCTCGCATACGTTCTGCCTACCAATCCATCTCTTGCAGAGCTGCTTACGCCATTTAAGACTTTCCAACAGCCTCAAACACACATGGCAGTTTAAAAGATATGCCAGATAAATAATTCAATATTTCCCCTCTGAACCAGCCCATATGTTAAAGTGGCCTGAGGTACAGGACAGAGAATATTTGTTTTTTTCATGATAACAAGATTAAGATCTGATGTTTTTGCAAATCATTTGCAAGACCATATGGAACCCCAGATCCCCAGAATGGTAAATGGTTAACTTAGCAGCAAGGTATAAAATTTTCCCCTTTTATCCTGGAACACGGTGAGTTATAACAGCTCGTCATCTCTTAAGTCTGATTTTCAGACATTCTCATCAGTAAACCATTTCCTAAGTAGTCATGCCACAGCATATGTAGCATATGGAGATAACATAATGTCTGGTTATGGTTTATGAGTTTACTTGGCATAGCTAAAGATGATCTGAAAACTTAATAATGCATCTCTCCAAAAAGGAACTGATCAAATCTTCAAGTGTGTGCTACTACAAGAAAAACCTTTAGAACATAGAGGATAATGTAACAGAAATAACTTCTGTCATATACCAGATCAATATTTCAATTCCTGTGGAATGAAGAGAGGTGGTGTTTTGCTTTTTGTGTGTGTGTTTTTTTTTTCCCCCTACAGGCTAAATTTTATTGTATATACCCCCAAATTAACCCTCTATTTGCATTGCGTATGCAGAATACATTCAATCTCTATTTCTTCTGACTATAATTAATAACGCTTCAAGGTGAAAGTATATTGTGCCATCAATTTTAACAAGACTATACACTTAAAATGGAACCCAGTTTTAAGAACAATAAAAAATGCCATTTGTTTTCAAGTTTATTTCTTATTTTGTTTGAGATGTATTAGAAAGATTATTATGAAATAAAGTGAGTTTTAGCAGAAAGGTTATATTATAGAATAAAAGAAATATAGGACACTTCCTCAATATTAATGCATTGTGCTTCATATTTCAATCTGATTTAATTTTCTATAGATACTACAGAAGCTCAAGTGAGATGGTAAATTCAATTAAATTAAGATTAATATCATAGTCAGTTGTGTACTTACTTAAAAATTGCTCAGGAGTGTTGAATACACACATTTGCATTGGAAAGTCACACAGATATGGGCAGAAACACAGCCATTAAATGCAAAACAAAAGAGGTTGTTCTCTTCAATAAGTTTTGGATGTCACAAAGTTAAAACTTACAAATAAAACTGTTTCTGAACTGTTAAAAATAAGAGAAAAAATATGTTGATCTTTTCCATTATAGCAGGACCTCTCCTTTGACCTCTATGAGAAGTGACCTTCATGCTCTTTAACAGACCATGACTTCCAGCTGCAAGCAATAGTGGAAAAATGTAGTCTTTGAGGAGCCCAACCTACCCATAGGTGAGAGTTCACTGACACTAGTGAGCTCTGAGAATTTAATCTGGGGTTTTAAGAGATTTTTTAATAGGTTTTACTAAAACTGATCTCAGTTAAAGGAACTGGTTTCTTCTTCTACCTGTCATCTGTTTAAAAAAAAAAAAAAAAAGTTAAAAAAACCACAGCAGCAAACATACATATTTTGTCAATGACAAGCTTAAGTTTCCCACAGAACAACCAAAGTAATTTGTCCAAATTTTGTGTTCCTCTATATTTAAGAGCTCCATATATTGTATCTTCTGAAAAACCACGGCTCCTTAAAAAAATCAATATATAAGGCAGATATTTGCTTCAGTGAAGTAAGATCATAAAATGGCCTTAAATGCTTATTTCAGAAACTCAGTTGTGTCTATTTCTGAATGTTGAAGCTTTCTGTTGCTTTAGCAGTTTTAAAGTAACAAACCAACCCCTATTATTTATGGTCAGAACCAAATTACATTAACAGTTCATAAATGTATGACTTCCTGCCAGCTGTAATACTTTGCAATCTGACAGAAGGAATTGTTATTTTTGTTTATTTTTTGTTCTGTTTATTTTCTAAACAATCTTCAGGAGAATATTTTTGTCTGTTTTAATAGAATACACAAGCTATCATTTAAAAGAAAATTCTCATTCAGATTTTTACTTTGATAGCTCTTGATGTCTATAATATATTTGTCTGAAATAAACATGAATTGTGGTTTTCCCTTTAAATATAAATAATACTAATTTAGAAAGTGGTTTTGTGTAACTGGATCAGTCTTACGTGGCAAGAATATGTCTCATGAGAAGATACTTATATAACAAGCTATTGAAGAACAGCTTTATAATTACACATGATTTTTATTAAATGTCGTCCCAAAATCACCTCTATGGTAAGCCCCGGTGTTCTAAAGTAATTTTGCTCCTAGTCAGGTTGTCCTAAAAGGGGGCGTCTTTCTAGGAAAGCTCTGGAGAAAAGTAGAAGTAATACAAGAAAGAGGAGTAGGAAAGAAAAAAGACCCCAATTTCTATTCCATGGAGAGCCCCAGCGTCCTCTCCTTTACCATCCATCTCAGCCCCACTCATCACATTGCCTTCCAAATCCATACTAACTGGAAGATGAATATCTTGCCATCACACTTTTAGCCCACTTGGTCCCTGCTGTAACATTTAATTTTATCTACACTGTTAAGAAGCCTTAAGCTGTCCACGGAACTGTTAGATATGGGTTTAATCCCTATTGAGTCCAGTAGCTTTAAGCACTACCCTTCATCGTAGAAATCTGAGATATATTTCTGTCAAAAAGAAAGGCAGCATAGTAATGTGTATGCGATGGCCTCAGAGGTTTTATGGATTTTATTTTTTTAAATGTGTTCACATTTGTTTTCTTTTTCCAGCTAATTAGATAAAAGAAGAGTATTTGAAGGGGAAAACCCTTCAACATATTCTTCAAAAGGCATTTTATCACAGAATAACATAGCTTAGCTGCTTCTAAAACCGCATGTTGTGGAGCTCTCTTGAAGTAGTCCATAGTCTGAGAAGAAAAGCACAAATACCAGGAGGTTTTTCGAATTTACTATCGTATGCATTATACAAAAATGTATCTAAAGATTCCGAAGGATCAGAAAAATCACATCAGAGTGGCATTTCCATCCAAATCATAAATAATATCCATTCTCAGTAGAAACAGATCAAATTACTGAATTTCAATAAATGAAATCAGTGATTTGTATCAGCTGAAGACAAGGTCAATTTTATTATGTTCATGGAGGTTAAGAAAACATCTTTTTCAATAATACTCTCTGGGAAGTTTTGCTAGTAAAACCATTGCCAGAATATATATCATTCGTATGTTACGCAATCTTCTACATTTGTTTCAGTCTCTGCTATATAAAAGAAACAATGGAATGGCAAAACCTTATTAGTCCTTTGAACTATTGACATGTGCTTTATTGTAGTACTTTTAACCTTTTCAATAGCCTGCTATGAAGTCAAAGAGC